GTTGAATCTTAGTGAGTGAGTTAAGATTTTAAGCCACATCGGCAGTTTTTCAGCCATATCGTGACTAAATCAAGTTATAGATATATTAATAATTAAAGGTTAATTATAAATTCTGTCAAGGAAGGACAGTAAAACAACTAGATTATCACAGATGTAATTTTAAAACTAGTGATTAGATTTAAAATATGTTAACTATTCATGACAATACAATATAAAAAACAGGCCATAGATTGCCAACAACTGCAGTTGAATCTTAGGTGCACGGAATGTCATGATAAGAACACACCATAATGGACACACTTTCTTTGACCACTTCGGGACTTAACCCAAATTCTTCCTTGCTGACACTCGGACCAGGGAACCTGTGAAATGAAATGAAAGAATCTGCTTGATGAAACGTCCAACAAATTAAGAGCCTGATAACTTTGCGGGTGATGCTAAACAGGTCACAGGTTACCGCAACCAAAGATCGCATAAACGGTCGGAAAAGACCAAGTATTAACAAACAAGATCGAGTGAGTGAGTACATTTTTTTACGCCACTTTTAGAAATATTTCAGCACCATCACGGATGGGGACACCAGAAATGAGCTGCACACATTGCACCCATGTGGGGAATGAAACCCGGACCTTCGACGTGACGAGCTGACGCTTTAACCTCCAGGCTACCCCGCTGACACAAATAGCAGCACAGTTAAACGTAAACACGGACTTGAGTTTTAGAAGGTCGATGAAACCACTCTTGGATATTTTTGGTCACTCTTGATAAGTTTTGTCATAGCGGTCAGAGTGAGTGAGTGAGTTTAGTTTTGGGCAATGCCAGTGAAAGAGAGTTTGGCTGGTGAGGTAATTGGAACCGGCAATAAAGTTCTTTAGTCATAGCATGTCGACTACACTTTGCCTAGATAGGTGGCCCCATTAGCTCAATTCTATGAATTGGCAACCCATACCTTGTTTATTTAATATATTTGCACAAGCATGTCAAATAATGTGAATTCAATGCGTATCATAATATTGAAGTGCTCAGAATCAGAGTGCCCAGAAGGCAGTGAGTCATCCCCCTATCTGTTGATGCGTGTCTCCAAATTCTCCGATAGACTTTCCTGAGTTGAACCATCCTGACCAAGGTGGGCACAGGACACTGTGCATTTGTAAAGGCATTTTCAGTGAAACGCGGTTGCCTCTCCTATCGACCAGCCAACCAGTATTGCAATTACGACAAATGGAATCATACATCCTGCAGATGGCATGGACCTTCCTTCTAACAAACTGTGACGGGGTTGCAGTCTTACAGTAACCCCTTCAGCTCTCTCCCATAATGATGCCACTACTACCTCTAAAGCTCTGGAACCACATGAATAAAGATTGATTTCCAATACGTCGTCAGCAACATCAGTGATTTGGGAACCGTAATGACTAACGTTACCTCCAATATGTACAAGGTTCCCTAGATGGAATCCGGAAACTATCTATTAAATTTTATCTCAGTGTCAGATATACATACTTTACTTGTTTTACATTTAGCCGCAACGCAAGTATACTTACAAAGATGGTTGTCTTCAAACAAATCCAGTCTTGGCTATTCGTTGAATTCTTGGGTTGAATAGATGCGACATCCATTAATGTTCTGCAAATCAACTCCTTTGGATGGAATCTTACAAGACTACAACTAGCTAACTGCAAACATTTAGTGAGGCACTGTAACCTTCCGTATGGCTTGAATTCAGCAAGAGGAGTCGCACGACAACATTGTTGCTGCTGTACATATTTTCCCATGTGAGGGATGTCCTCGATCACATCTACACTGTACACTGAGACCCACAGCAAGGTAAAGTACAACAATTGCGCTTGAGGTATCATTGTTAAAGAACCAGGTGTCAACGGCTCGATGGTTTTATACGTAAATTGTTAGTTGCCGAATGTAAAACGTTATTCATGCATAAACTCACTGCACAGTGTATCAGAATGTTCACGGATTTCATGAAACATGTTGCAAATCGACCTTCAGAGAAACTGTGATCTGTTCAGTGAATCCCCCTATGGATATATATAATCGGGGCAGCCGATACCAACAACAAGGGTCCCGCGCATGCTGCTTGACCAGTGCTATGAGTAGCTACAGATCACGTGTCTCTCCACGAATTTTCAATATTGCCAGAACATCATTATGTTCTTTTTGAGGACGTTTAGATTCGACTCTTAGGAAATTGACTGTTCGTGTAACACGTAGCCTTATTGGTAATTCACCTTTAACATATTTATTTTATGCATTTATTTTTGGGGTGAGGGATGGGGTGAATAAAAGTTGGCATCAATACTGCAAATTCATATCTTCACGATTTCGGTAAACTACAATAAATTGGTGAATTAAAAAGATAGGGCATAAACACGCCTTCCATCAAGACTTCTCACAGTTCAGTTGAAATGCATTTATCACAGAACAAATACTGTCAATAGTAATGAACCTTAGTTAAAGGCTAGTTTTGCAGCAGGTAATATTTCTCAATGGTTAGTGGAAACGGCGTTAATGCGCTTCTTTATTTCACCTCTTATAATCAAATGTGTTCCATTTGGATATAACGTGATGTTATATACTTGTAAGTACATGAAGTGTGAGTCATATCAGCTAATAAACTATCTCTATTATAATGAAAATAGAGCACTTCAGCAATTGTCAAATGAAAAGAAAAAAACTAAAGGTGAAGTTTAATATTCAAACCTGAATGTGTCCTTAATGTGTGTGTGTTCAATATATATTAACAAATGAAACATAAAATTAGTTTTTATCTCTTTTCATTAAATGTGATAAGTCACAATTGCACAGTATCAATCAGCGGAAATACATATTTAATATCCACACGTGGTAATATTCTCATACTAACTGGAAATTAACAGGACAGTCTTAAATGTCAATTGCCAGGAGATCACTTTATGTTATGAACAGCCTCTCATGTATATGGATGCGGAATATGACAACAGCACGACAGGTTCAAATACCCATAGTATTGTTTCTATATACTCCGTTACATTACCATCGATCCATTCGTCAACAAAATATTTTTTCTGGGATGGCTTTAGCCGTTATATCACTACTTTTGAAGTTTTCAACTCAGAGGAGCGATATATATTTGACTGGCCAGCAACGATGACATGCTGAATAATACGAAATTGAGACTGGGCATACTGGGGCAGTTCATAAAGAAAACTTGAAACACTTGAAATTGTGAAAGATTTTTAAATTGACTTAATAGACTTAAAGGGGAAGTGTACACGATAAAATCACATTTTATCTTATGTGAAACAAAATGAAGTATTTTAATTATTTAATATCAATGTTCGAAATTATACACTCATTTTTCTTACAATGAAAGTATAACCCTCAAAATAAGTGTTGAAATGTTATGCCATCATGCAGTCCTTGTTTGCCGAGCTAAACAGCCCAGAGTTACCGCTCTTTGATTATGACGTAATTGGTGCCACTTGATTTTAGACTGGTCTCCTGTCTAGTCCCAAATCCAAAGATAAAATAATACTGTTAGAAATGAATCACGTGAGAAAAGTTTGTGAAAATACGAAAGAAGCATAAGAACTTAAAATGTAAGCAGCAGGACAGATTGATCGGTGTGTATTTTCAACCATAACCTCACGTCAATGAAAATACCAAATATGTGTAACAATGTTGACGTACGTATGACATCACTATCGGAAGCGGCGTGGCACGAAACATTCTGACAATCTGTTGGTTCTTATTTTCTTTTTGTTTTCTTTGTGACCAAGGGAAATAGTCAAAAATGAAGAGAGCTTTAAATCATATATGGCACCCGTGCGGAGCCACGCTAAGCGCTCTTCAACCCCCCGTTGTAGACCCGGGGGTATATTTGGTCCACCAACCCGTTTGCCATGGGTTGCGCCCCTGTCTCGGTGGACGACGGGAGTCTGGTGGCTGAGGGCTCGTGGAGCCTGGAACCGTGTTCCTTTTGCCCATCACACCACTTCGCCCCTTACTTCGACTAGACGGGTGATAGAACTGGCCCGGTTCTATCTATCGGCTGGTCACGCCATGCCCTGTGCATGGACACATTCTCATTGCAATAACTGTACATTATTGTGCATTTGTGATACTGAATGTTTGTATTTAAAATTATATAATATTTGTTTGCCTAGAGTCCTATGCCAGAAGGCGGTGGCTCATGGGCCAATCTGGTGATGTTGACCTCTGAATGATGTACGTCTCCAATTTCTTGTCATGGGCAGAACCAGTCCGGCATTAAATTGGTAGATAAATGCAGCTACTCATGCCATATTCTCTGTAGTATAACACCCTTGTATCCCTGGTGTCAGCATCTGTAAGATCCGGTGCTGTATGACACTGTCCTTGTTGACACTTCCTGGTGGATGTTGCTGAATCATTACTTTCCATTATGGATCTAAAACAACCTGGTTCGAATCCAAACGAAAAGAGACGAATAGATGACATTGATCAATCTAACATTCATCATTCTAATAATGTTGATTCATGGGCTCGATCCCTTGAAATCGAAGGAAAATATAAATAACCATTAAAATTAAAACCTTTTGGTATATCCAAAGCCATTTCTGGAATTTGTGGGGAAGTGACGAATTTCACCCGCCTGCGTAGTGGCTCACTTCTGATCGAGTGTGCAGGGAGGCAGCAATCTCTGAATCTTTTGTCAATCACAATATTTGCAAATATCGAGGTTGCTGTGTCTGTGCACAGAACTTAAATTCCTGTCGCGGCATCGTTCGTAACAGAGCTAGGTGTCTTGCTGACATGACTGAAGAGGACATTGCTAGAGAACTAAATGAACAAGCAGTTACGGCAGTAAAACGTTTTACCGTTAAGAGAGGTGGTGCTATCGTTAACACCAATACCTACCTCTTGAGGTTTGCTCGTACTCGTATTCCAACGTCAATTAAAGCAGGATATTTCAACATTGGAGTGGAGGTGTATGTCAGCAATCCACGCCGGTGTTATAAATGTCAGAAGTTCGGCAATGGATCACAGACTTGTCGGAACTCTCCGTTGTCTCCCCGCTGTGCAGACCACCACGAGGATACAAACAGATCAGAAGTGCGTGAACTGTGATGGTCAACATCCTGCTTCATCAAGGTCATGCCCTGTGTGGCAAAAGGAGTCCAAAATCATGAGACTCAAGTGTGAGAAAAATGTTTGATACTTTGAAGCAAAAAAACTGTTATCATGACACATATCGACTCCGTCGAATGTCAGTTATTCTGCTGCAGTTACACGATCTGTAGCAACGTCCCCGATTGCATGTCAGACTGACTTGACTTGGGTTAAGTGAGAGAAACCTGTTGTGTCAGCCACCCTAACTATGGCAGCAGTCACTCCGCGCCCGGTCACTACATCTACGTCCGGACGCCAAACAGACAGTCTGTCTGGCAATTCATCTCAACCGTATTCTTCTCAACCTTTAGGTGTCAATGTCACAAACAGGAAAGGAAATAAAATAAACAGAACCACACACCATATCTATTCGTACGGCTGTCTCCCCTACACCTAGACAATCAACCCTGTGCGAATCTAGCAGATCAGCCCTAGAAAACCCGTGAAGGCACCTTTCACAAAAGTGTTTGTTTTCCCTGTGTTTCGATTGATTGTACAACAGTCTGCTGAAATTCTTTATCCATGTGTAGTGATGTTTTTCACCTTGTTGGATCATAAATATATTGATCATTTTACGACAATCCTTATACAATAAATGACTTATCCTGTGTACTATTACGTTTTTACCTTCGTGTCCGAAAACGTTTATGGCTAAGTCTTGATTCTATTGTTCTATTTTTTGGACCTGAGAGATGGGGATGGGATCGTCTATACCTTCCCAATTGAGCCCGTCATCTTCTGGATAACTGGAAAGTATATCAGAATGTTTTTCAACTGGAAATTTAGCGGATGTTATCGTTATCCTCATACAATTGTTGCCTCGGTTTTTAACGTTAACCATAGCTTGTTTTTTCTTGAAATACTCAGACAGGGGTAAGTACGATCCACCTTTCAACGGTATATAGTTTGCTATATTCAGGTAGACCATGTTAATCTTGTCAACAATCCAACCAGAACCCATATTAGTGTAACGTTCTAGTGTTTCTCACACTTTTTCTAATGATCTGTTTATAGAAGAGTTGATAGTGTGTGGTTGCGTTGTAACTTCTTGATTACCTCTGAAGTAAACATAGGTGTATTCAGTTGTTTCATTCGACTGTTGTTTCTCTAGTGTCATGTTTAACGTGAGTTGAAATTTAATACCTCTTAAATCTTTCAGTTCTTCGTTTACTTTGTCAAATACCAATGGTTTTATAACTTCAACGTCTATATTTCTTTGAACTTCCATCTCCCAGATCAAAGTATGGTGATCTACCTTCAGTTGTTGGCGATCTATAGCCTATTTTTATATTGTGCTGTTCTCTATAGTTAAAATGTTTTAGATTTAATTACTAGTTTTACATGTATACCTGTGATATTCTAGTTGTTTTACTGTCCTTCGTCGGCAGGTTTTTATCATATCTGTTTATATATTCTATTTAAATGTCAAATGTTCTCGTCACGATATGGCTGAAATATTGCCGATATGACGTTAAATATTAACTCACTCACTCCATCTTCCAACCTCTCAAATATTTACCTACAAGCATGCTCAATAGGCGTGAACTGTATTTCTATAGGTTTTGTTCTTTCAGTAATTCAATGAGCTCAGATTTCCTCACACGAGAATAATCTCGTATTCCACGTTCACGAGCTTGCTTTGTTAGTTCTTTCACAGTAGGTGTTTTTTGATACTTTAAATCTAATAAATCTAGTAATTCATGTTTCCTCATACGAGAATAACCTCGAAGTCCACGGTCACGTGCTTGCTTTTTCAGTTCATGTACTGTCAACATATCATAAAGTTACAAACAAAGTTTGTTGATACTGTATGTGAAACAATTCTCTAAATAGGCCAACATACTTCATGTTAAACATAAGATGATGTAATAGATATAGGATTGTGTAATCTAACCCGTAACATAAACCTTTCGTACATCGAGGCCCTTTGCTTCATTAAATGTGACCCTCTCATTGTTAGAAAAAGACCTCTGGAAAACTATTTTACAGGTAGATAAAAGTTAAAGGTTTACAAATTAATAGGATACTTATTGATTCCATACCCCGTACCCCATAGTCTTCCTCTTTCGAGTAAGACTATAGTTACTTTTTTACAGGTGAGGTGAAAAGTAGTTAGTGAGTGAGTGAGTTAATATTTAACGTCACATCGGCAATATTTCAGCCATATTGTGACGAGAACATTTGATATTGAAATGAAATATATGCATATTATAAAAAAAACTGCTGACGAAGGACAGTAAAACAACTAGAATATCACAATTTGAAGTAAAACTAGCGTAGAAAGTTAAAACAAATAGCACTATTTGGACACCACAATATAAAAAGGTGGCTACAGATCGCCAACAACTGAAAGGAGATCACCATACCAGGGACCATGGGGACTTACATTACTTTTGCTACATGCATGGATCCTAGTTGGATTTACACCATCCCTTCAGCCGCCGGCGATTATAAGAAATGTTAGCCAAAATTAAAATGACAAGAATGCTACGTTTAAAAATCCTGGCAAGTTTAAATGGACTTGGAACATTTTGGGACTTATGTACGCTCTCAGGACAATAATTTTACACTACTTCAACCCCCTTTGAGGGTACAGCAACTAACGATCTCAGTTACTAACCTAAACTACCAATAATAAAATATATATCTATTTACAAATCAGTTAGCAAGTCTAATTTTTTTAAAAAGGCAATTATTAAATGAGAACTTATATTACTAAACAGATCCTTCATAGTGTTTACTTTGAAATAGATATCCCTTGTGATGGAATATTCTACACAGTCAAGCAGGACATGCTTGACTGATTCTTTCATCACAATGGATACAAAACGGAGGATCCTCACCTTTTAATAGGTACTCATGAGTATATCTTGTGTGGCCAATATGACATCGTCGTATGATGACCTCCTCAAATCTGGACTGACAACCCAAGTAGGTGGAACCAATGTAGGGTTTTATTGCATGTAATTTATTAATACCTACTTGAGTGTCCCACTTCTTCTGCATCAGATCACGGATGTAAGATCTAATGCTAGCCTTGTAATCAGAGTAAGGAATAAGAAGTGGTGTCACAGATTTGTCGAGTGCTGCCTTGGCAGCAAGATCGGCCATTGTGTTCCCATAAATGCCAACGTGGCTGGGTAACCAACAAAAGACGATGTCGTATTGGCCAGTAGCAAGCTCATTATACAATTCAATAATTTCTAATAAAAGTTCATGTTTACAAGAAATATTTTTAATAGCCTGAAGGCAAGAAAGTGAGTCAGAAAAGATGATATATTGTTGATATTTAGGGTGTTTTTTAATATATTTTAAGGCTGTTAATATGGCGTTTGCTTCTGCTGTAAAAATAGAGCTGTTATCTGGTGATTGAGAAGAGATTGTTCTGGATCCAATGACAGTGGCACAAGCCACCGCGCCACCATCCTTGGACCCATCTGTAAATAAGGATTTATATGTATTATATTTACTTTTTAATTTATTATATTCTTGTTTATATTGTAATTCAATAAACACGTCACAATTTAATTCTGGACTCACAAAAGTCCAGAAACTCTCCGCACTGTGGACCCTTTCTGACAAGGGATTTGACCAAATGGAAGATGCAGTTGTTATAAACACATGCCAAGGATGAAAAAATGAAAACAAAATTTTCCGAAAACTTCAAATTTAAACTCGCTCGCCCATGGGCCACTGTTCAAATTTAAAGTTTTCGAAGATTTTTTTTTGCATATCTCAGTGAGTCTGGACCAGACAATCTAGTGATCAACAGCATGAGCATAGCTTAGTAAAAATAGCAAATGAAACATGGCTTTAAGTAACAGTTACTTAGCCTACATATGTGTGTAAGGTAGTACTGGCGTAACGTGGTCACTAATGTGTATAAATAGAGTTTTTTGTGTTGAATTTGATGGTGAATAGATGGAAAATATGCACCTATTCAGCCCTGATGATGTACACTGAATGTCTGTCTAACATCGTCCTCCGTTGACACACGATGGCGGGTGTTGTCGAATACTAAAACCCCATTATTTCTTATAACACTAATAAACACATCAACCGTCGTTATGTTCATTTCATATGATCTGATGAAGAAAATGGCCTGAAATGACTAACAGGCCATTGCCATTTCCCCTTCAACCAGCCACTCAAGTTTGCCATTTCCAATGGTGACTGATGAGAAATATTTGTCAATGTGTTCGCTCTCACTCCTTGTGGAATGTGTACGGAGATGGGAATCCATCATCTGCTTAGAGTAGTTCGTAAATGTACTGGTTGATGTCTCAGTGCACAATACAATAAAACCATGTTGTGGAATCATTCCAGACCACAGTCCGTTTGACTCAGAAACGGACTGATGAATTGCAATTTTTTTCATTGTACAAAATTGCCACATAAATATAAATAGTACACATGTTTATCATTTACTAATACCCAACAGCTTTCTTATATTTGAAATTTTTTCAGACTGCACCAAAAACGTTCTTTAAGAAACGATCATCATTGAAAACGCAAAAGTTGTTATCTGTCGGGGCGGGGTGAAACCAGAGAAGCGGAACAGCCACTATCTCGTCGTGTACGGGATACGCATGCCTGATGAAAAATGAAGTCGAATGCTGACGTGAAACAGTTGATGATAAAAGTGTACGATTTTTTCCGTGCTGAAGCCGAAAGGGGCAAACCATTTTATGCCATTAATAAATTCCGTATGCGGGCAGCAAAAGCTTTAGGAGTATCAGCAAGGGTACTGACAAATGTTCTGGAACACAAACATTGTGAGGGTGATGCGAAGCAGGTAAAGGTCGTGTCAAAGTAACACAAATTTAATACATTTGGACAACTTTCAAAAGAACCTTGCAAGGCAGTCTATCAACAAGCTCTATTCTCAAAACAAATACATGTCGCTGAAAATTTAAAAAAGCATTTGAAGCAAGAACAACCTCAGAGTATCAAAGTACACACTCCTGCGACTCACTCTTTCGGGTATCGTTAGAAGAAAATTTCGGGGGAGAATAGGTCAGTACTCTGTGAACGCCCTGATATCGTTCGCTTGAGAAATCATTTTCTCAGGGTTATAAAGAAGAAGGGGAAGGGTTCGAGCCAGTGTAATTGGACGAGGCCTGGGTCAATAGCTCGCACACTGCCAGCAGTCAATGGGTACCCGACGGGGGTGATAAGGGGTCACGTAGAAAGCTGCCTCTAGGGAAATGAGAGAGACTAATCATTCTCCATGCTGGTTGCTCCAGCAAAGGCTTTCTCCCAGGCTGCGACTTGGTATTCAGGGCAAAGTCCACAGATAACAGACTACCATTCCGAGATGAATGGTGCGGTTTTCCTCGATTGGGTTAAAAACAAGTTGGTACCAGCTCTACCAGAGAAGTCTTTTATCGTAATGGGCAATGCCCCATGCCACAGCGTGCAGGACCTCGACAGTAAAGTCCCGACATCGAACAGTCGAAAAGTTGATATGATATCATGGCTCGACAAATTTCATATCGCACGGCCTTCACACAATGTACCCATGTGGGGTCTTCGGCGTGACGAGCGAACGCTTTAACCACTAGGATACCCCACCGCCCCAGGACTCTATTGAAGAAGTTGACGTCTTTGTGTACAGTATTTTAGTGATATCTTGCCGTGTTCAATATTTCTGTAGTGATGGCGTTCGTACACGTTTGGCACTCAAACTAGCGGTCAGGGCAGTAATGCTTATAAACGTATGTGGAATTCGACTAAACGATGGACGGATCCTGTACAACATGTGACCGGGTGAAAAGTTGACAAAACGATGAAGTTAAGGATTGAACTTTATTGAAACACAACTTACAAACAGTACGTAGATATGTGGTATATAGACGTGAATTAACACTGCCTTCAAAGTTACTAAATTTTGGCGAACACTGGGATAAAACCATTTAGGTATAACGAAGGAAACGGACTTGGCGTTTGGACATATTGAAAGTTTTAACGGTTTGTGAATTTGCCGCTTTGAGCGTCATTCCAAAATATCAGTAGAGATCTCCGACTATGTGAGCTAACGAACCTCAACTACCGAATCTCCTATACCATGTCACGCCTTTAGTAAGGTAAATAGGATTGAAATTTCGGTTTGGGCGATTGTATTTGGAACTACAATGGGGAATTGTTAACAAAGATCTGTTTAACGTTTCCATGAAACTGATTTGGATAAAGTGTAATGTTTTTAAGACTCCGAACTTGAATTCCAAAGATTGCTTGATGGTACCAAATGAATAGATCCAGAGTAGCATGGCTCAACCACATCTGTATGTATTCATTCTTCTGACAGAGGCCGGAATAACGTATTACAAGGATCATGACCAATGAAGGGAGAATTTGGGACTGTATGTGAACCTTTACATTTATATTGAGTAAACTTGACATCATATTATGCACATTACAGAAACATTGCCATTTAGTCAGTGCTTACTTTAATTTGAATGTATACATCCAGGGCAGCATGGCTCAACTACACCTGTATATATCCATTCTTCTGATAGAGACTAATATATCTTTCAGGTGACAGTTTAAAAGTAGTAACACAACATGGGTAAATATTGATGCGAAACAATAGGGTTGCTATATGGTGATTGTGTTATGAAACACAGACAATAAGGTTGGTGTCCCATTTAAGCCAAGCGTGTAATTGTAAGGTTTAACCAACAATTAAGTTTACTAGCAATGTATAATTTAAGAAGGCACATGGGGTCGAATTGCAGACGTTTGACAATGCCACCAACTGGTATGTTTAACTCCATCGTACTGATTATAATGATTGTGGCAGGGATGGAAATAACTTGCTTGTGTACAGTGGCACATGTAAAATCACTTGCCCTGATAATTGCTCCACTATACCGGCCGTTTTCTTGCTGATTAAAAAAAAACCCAACATGATTTACACTGGAAAGTCAACTGGACACCGGTACAGTGTGATATACAAATTTGCTTGCCCGACAGAAAAAAACCCACTAGACTCGGACGTCGGGCAATGGGTCATTTCCACCCCTGTGTGGTATTGTTGTCTTCACCGAGAGGTGCGAGCAGTATGGCCATTGGATCAGTCCATTCCTTGAGATATGATCTGGGAGAAAATGCCTGGAAAGAGATGGTGGATCATTAGAGATGCATAAGTTGATGCATGAGAGATTAGAGAGATTAGAACGGAATGGCACATTGTAGCAACTGCTTTGACGGGTGATATTTTGATGAGTGAAGTAAAGTATACCGACAATATCAGCATGAAAGCTCATTTCTCAGTGATAATGGACACATTGTTATGGGTAATAGATTTGACAACTGGGTTATTCAGCAACTACTGTTCACGGCTTATGTGAATTACACTGATATTTCTAAATTCCCGTAGTATCCACTGGGAACGCAGATATTCCACTGGACTCTACCGTACAGAAACACACTGGAGTGTAGTCAATTGCAGTAGAAAGGTGAAGGGAGCGTGATATTTGCTGGTATTTCCATACATAAGTGCAGTTTTTATACTAACCTTATTGGTTTCTTTTCATATATCCATCTTAGTGGTAGATGCCAACACCATACCGCAGTACCGCTCATGATAAGGAACAAGTGTCTCTAACTCATTATGCATGATAAAAACACTTTCATGTTTGGTGAGTGTTCAGCCAAAGGTCATTTGATATATTAAAAGACACTACTGTGGAATACACGAAAACAATGTTTCTGATAAAATGCTTTGAAACAATTATATGTCAAAAGACGTCAAGTACAGGACCCTGAAGATGCTTGAGAATACAACTGAGTCATCGTGCAACTGAAAGGTGTTAGCGGGTAGTTCAGGTAGGAATGTGAGCCATGAAACATGAAAGACCCCTCAACACATCAAAGCTGCCGAGTCATCGGTAGGTACTCACGGACACCACCTAGGGTTTGTAAGTGGACGATCATTTCACATTTACACACAAAAGAGATTGCATTAACATGTAATCTTGGCATCATGCTAGGAATTTCAAATAGCCGAAATAGTTTACTTCCTCGATAGGATATTGTAATTGGTCCAAGTTGAAACACAATAAAATAGTTTATATAGAAACTGCTTTGGATTATTTAGTCATGGATATGGTGAGTATCAGAGGGAATGAATTCCGGAGCATGAGGCGGTTTTGGTGGCAGGTGTTCTAGAAGGAACATTGTCTTGGTATCTGAAAAACGAGAAAAACAAGTAGTATTTGTAGTTTTTCGGTATTATGTGACCTGGACATATAGAGAAAAAGGATGGTGAAATGATGAACGCAGACAAGTTATCACATTGGGACTGGTGCATGTTGACCTGGCAAGAATAAGGTACAGAGCTACACGTCCTGCACTAGAAACTATTATAGGAAATATACTTAGTTGAAATTAGTGGCAAACACAAGTGAAATGTTGGCGAGTGCGTAATGTGAAGGCTGGCTCAAGACAATCTCCTCATAATGGAAGATATGCTGTCGTGAAACATTTGCGTGATAAATGTACAAATATCAGTGATGTTATTTGGTAAGTGTTTGTTTATGTTGTCACAATATGGAGACGTCTGAAAACAGGTGCAGTCTATATTGAGTATGCTATTTAGTTCCGGTTTATTACTCACCATGGACAAAAGTGGAGACGGGTGTTGTGGATGTGGTGTGCATGGCTGTGGTATGGGTACCTGTAAATGCATAGATTTGTATGAAATGTCATTTCAAAATGGCCAGTAACAAATATTTAGAATACCATTTGTCAGGTTAGTTCAATTGAGAAGAAGCAAAGTTAAAGTCCTCGATATCTTATGAAAAGGTTGCTAGGAACAATAAGTTACATTGTTTGTAAAAATCAAACAAGGGCAGTATGAAACTCACCTTATCACTTTGTTGCGTCCATACGTCTTTGAGGAAGCGTGGCAAAACCAACATCTTACTGTAGCACCGCACATGGCTAGGAATGACCCTTTTCAACTTATACTATGAAGGATACTGAATGATTTTGTTCAGGTAATTTACCTTTACAGACACACAGACGTTCAAATACAAGTTACCCAGAAGATGTTTGTGAATACAAACCGAATCATCGTTCAGCTAGAAGGTGTTAGCGGGTATTTCAGGTAGGAATGTGAGCCATGAAACATGAAAGACCCCTCAACACCTCAAAGCTGCCGAGTCATCAGTAGGTAGTCACAGGACATCCATGAAGGATTTGTAAGTGGACGATCGTGCCAGGTATACATATAGAACAGATTGGGTTAATACCAACTTGTGAAGGTGGAGAACATAGTATATGAAGGTATCAGTTCCCAAACATGAAGCGGTGTAGTTGGCAGGGATGTTGGAGGAGGTAGCTGTGACAGTCACCACACCTGAAAAAGCAATATTTTGATTAATAATTATATATGTAATTAATGTTTACATACAAACATGAGCAGTCAGCATGTGTCGCTGATGGTGGTCTCATGAGTATCTTCTATGTGTGTACTAAGTCAAGAGCTGTTGAGGTAAGATAAGCAGAACCCTAAGAGAATTCCTGTTGTATGATTCATATTTCACAGTTTACTTACTGCATATGGAGAGGTGACAAGGATGAAATTAGGATTAACGGTGGAGGACTCATTGCCGGCTTGATTTGACCAGAAGTTGGAGCTGTTGCCTGGCGACTTGAAGGCAACAAGAGCTGGGAAATGAAAGCAGGACATGTCGAGGTCAACGTCGGCGTCGTTGACGTCTTTGCTGTCTTTGGTCTCTTTGCTGTCGCTGCTGCTGTTGTTGTGGTTGTGGCCGTTGTCGTATAATCGTTGCCTGTTCTGTTGTAACAACATCTGAAGTGGAAAGATTTTTTTTGTTGATCATGTAAAAAACAGGTTATGAAAATTATGAGCACGGAAAGATCTGCAGATGGATAACCAGGTGTTTGTTTAGATTGTCTCTGTATACATAAAACAGTGAGTGAGTGAGTTTAATTTTACGGCGGCGGTCCGTAAATAATCGAGCCTGGGCCAGACAATCAAGTGATCAAGAGCATGAGCATCGATCTGCCAAATTGTGAGTCGATGACATGTGTCAATCAAGTCAGCGAACCTGAGCACCCGATGCTGTTAGACGCCTCTTTCGACAGGCAAGGCTTACTGAAGATCAATTGTAACCGGCCTAAACCAGAATACATCGGGCAGCCGACTTCCTGGAAGTTTCTGAATTGATTTGGAGGACATGCTGGCGTACAGGAGTTGCAATAGTCAAGTTTTGAAGTTGGTATTTGCATAAAGACATATGGAGTACTATTTCAGCTGTATGGAGGTGGTCTGTAAAACATGGGTCAGATAATCTATTAGTGGCGGAATTAACATTGGTCTCCTAAATTAAGTCTGCTGAATGACCTGCAGTGTGACCACGCAATCCCGTTTGACATCTTTACGACACGCATGGGTTGCTGAAGGTGTAATATACCTGTATACTATCATAGTCACTGCACCAACATCAGGGCGTGGCATGGAGTCGTCGGATGAAAAATATACAAGTCAAGAACTGTGGAATTCTTACATCTCACTTTGATGTCAGAACTTGATGAAAGTAACATGAATGAACACTTTGCAGTCAACTTACTCGTCAATCCTCCACCCATTGTCATCTGGAGAACACCGGCAGGTCTCCGAACACGGCCTCTGCTCTGCAATAAAGAAAACCAATACTTTGCCTGTTACTGTAGCTAAGGGCTACAAAAGTTCCACCTACCAGGACAAATACAACGATATAAAGCCTAGTAGTTTTGTGCTGAATGAGTGAGTTAGGGTGTAGTGTGGGAGTAGTGCAAGTCTCAGATGTTAGAAGGTGCGTTGAAAACCACGAGGATGGGTTTGGGGGTAGATAAATCAAGGAAGGATACTTGGGATGAAGTGGGATTCGAACTCATGAACATAGATTTTTCATGTCAGCAAGGGATTCGACCATGTACAGGAATATGCCGTGGGTTACCTCTGTCTCCCACAATAAGGAAGAAGCAGTAGAAGATACCGTTTCAATATATTTGATTTGCATGAAATGTGTATGGCGAAATACAAGTAATTTTGCAGTGTTTTGGTTCAGACATGTCTCAATATGACATTTAGATAGGGAACAGATGAAAGTAAAATCTCACTGAAGTTCTCTGTGCCTCGTCAAACTGATGCAGGAGGTCCTGGTAGGGCCGTTGCTGCTGGTGAAGTTGTTGCCTTTGTTGAACCTGACGAGCCCGTCGCTGCTGCTCCGCTCTTTCCTCCCTCTGGCGTTGTTGGTGCTGTTGTCGCTGTTGTTGTTGCATGGCCTGTGTTCTATGCCTGTACCTGGCTTCTCGCTGCTGGTTGTGAAGTGCCTGAGTCTGAAATAATGTCCATTTAAAATAGCATAGTAACATAGCTTGAGGTAAATATGTACGTCACATCGGCAATAATCCAGCCATATTGTGACGATAACTATATACCGAGAATAAATATATACATATACACTTTGTAAAATGCTGTCTGCCATCATCCAGCTATACAGTCCTTTGCTGTCATTAAAACTAGTATGAGATCAGTTTAAATGATAAGTCAGTCTTCAACACCATAATATAAAATCAGACTATAGATCACCAGCAACTGTAGGTTGTCTGGTTGGTGCATAACGCCGCACTCAGTAATATTCCAGCTATATGGCGGTGGTCTGTAAATAGTCGAGTCTGGACCACACAATTCAGTGAACAATAGCATTACGTCGGGTTCGAGGATATTTAATCTACCAAGTGTCTGTGCTGGTCGGAGGAGACTACTTGATTGATCAGATGGTCCAGCACCGACTATCAGAGATAAGTTCCAACCCAACATTCTTATGTGGCAGCATGGTGATGATACTGTTTTGCACAGGTGATGTGACGTTTAAAGAGAATGAGGGAATGAAGATTAACGGTGAACGGAATTAACAAAATAAACTTATTTCAGGGTTTAAGGTCATTCGGAAATGTCAGGTTAACATGGTAAGAGGAAGTTTAACTGTTCCTGAAATGTTCGTTACTCACAGTTGGCATCGTCGCCAATGTCGCCAACGTCACTGTCGCTAAAGATGCGAAGGTGGAGGCCGATGCTGAGGTCGATGCGAAGGTGGAGGCCGATGCTGAGGTCGATGCGGAGGTCGATGCGGAGGTGGAGGTGGAGGTGGAGGCCGAGGCCGAGGCGGAGGCCGAGGCGGAGGTCAAGGCAGATGTCGAGACGGAGGTCAAGGCAGAGGTCTGATACGGAAGGAAAACCTGTCGGGATAAAATAGTGTGTAAATATTAACGAGTACACTTGAGCACTAAGACTGCATTGACGTACTGTCGGAAAAAGAAAAAAACTAACTATTTTCACATTTATATCTACAATTTATGTAGTTAATAGAAAAGGGACTTTACTGAGGAGAGATGAGTGCAGAAATGAGCAATGTGGATTTTTCAAAGTCCAAAGCGACTTATTTGGCACAGACTATGGCTTTACGCTAATTAGTGAGCGATGATATTGTATTACAAAGGACACTTTTTAAATGCTTGTTTTGAAATTAGACTTAGCTTCATTATAAACGATAGCTGACGTAAAAAGTAATAACTTTAATACTGAAACTATTAAGGATGTAGCTACACATGAAAAATAAAAAATAAAAAAAATATCTTTGAGATGACCCATTGTGCCTGTAGGCAGCACACGCATTACTTGTATATCATTTCTGGATATCCTATTACGCATCCCACTGAACGCCAGGTTAGACCGATGTGGGTTATTTCGACATATGCTATTTGCAGTTGTGTAAATTTTAGAGATACAGCGTAACAGTCTAAAAACAGGGTTTTTTTATACTGGACAAAATAAGTTAGGGATATTGGTATTTTTATGATTGATATTATTATAAGCGTGTAAATGAATAAAAAGGTCAGTATTCATAATTTCAAAATTTACATGTATTCCTAACTATTTTTTTTTCCAGTATATTTCCGACAGTACTTTAGTTCAGTTTGTACATTCAATTAGGGAGAACTTCTAGATGAATGAAGTGAATGTTTTCCAATAAGATGTTGGAATGAAGTCCAAGACGGGCATGAATTGTAGAAAGGAAACATCCCGATAACATTTAGCAATATATAACCGATTGTAATTGTCAGGTATAAAGCTGCTTATTTATCAGTCATTAGCCATAATCAGAATAAGAATTAATCATACTTACAATTGGCACCGTCTGAGTGGCTACGCTGACTGACGTCGATGTCGCTGCCGCTGATGTTGCCGTGCTTGCTGGCTGCAGTAAAACCAAAAGGATAGAGAACCGATAGTACACTTGTGCTCATGCACGCACACGCACACACACACACGAAAACACTGCACTTTTATCTCTTGTACATTGTTTGGCGGATTGGATCGGAAATAGGTGCCCGAGATGGATGTGTCCACAAATTGCTGATGAAGTAATCAGGACATACCTCCAAGAAGTGATCACAGTATATGTGAGGTGAGGTGAAATTGGGTGGTTTAACGTCATGATTGAGAATATTTCGCTCATATGACGACGTGCATGCGTGTGTATGTGTATGTGCGGCTGCTTGTACTAGCCCAGACTTAAGCTGGTTTTATAGTGCTAGCCCACTGAGATACCACGCCGCAGTGAAGCATGAATACCCCACTCAGACACATTATACTGACTCCGAGCCGACCAGTCCTTGTTGTACCCATTAATGCCGAACGCCAGACAGGGACCAACAAGTACCATATTTTAACGTCTTTTGGTATGACACGGTAGGGGATCGAACCCGCGACATTCCGCTCTCCGGGCGGACGCTCTAACTACTACACCACGGAGGCGGTCACCGTATATGTGAAGTTATATCAATAGCGCAAAGGTATTTCAAACTGCTCTATAATCGATTACCATATTATGCAGAGAGAAGACACATCGCTAACACCATATGTCCGACTTGTGCTAACATCTAGGCGACATCACTGTTATCCTGTTCACATCAATTTGGTTGGCTTACGTTTGCTTTCAGTCGGCTCAGGTCCTGCTTCAGCTGCCGATTCTCCTCCTGGGATCTTCTCAGTTCGTCTTCCAGCTGCCGGTTCTCCTGCTGGGATCTTCTCAGTTCGTCTTCCAGCTGCTGGAGCCGGGCTTCAACAAGCTGTCACACAACAAATACGGGTCACACAACAGTAATGATCAGAAGTATGTGTTCATGTAAATGATAACTATATTACACCACTTTGTTTATAGATTAACTGGGTACCCAGCAATAACTAAGCCACATCACATCTGCAAATGAGTCCGGACAAAACAGTACAGTGACTGACGCCACATCCATCAGTCTGCATATTTGTAACAACCCCATCAAGCATAGACTGGTGGTTCAGGTGTCCGACTAATAAGCTGACCGATCATCGGTTACACACGTTCACACATGCTGATTTGTCAGTGCTTCTCACTCACCCACTACCTTAGAGTAAGGCAAACAACAATTTTAGACACCTACTACATAGGAATAAGACAGTAGGCGTGTAAAGAACCTGTAGGCATATAGTAGAACAAGTTGAATGAGTGAGTGAGTTCAGTCTTACGCCGCTTTTAGCAATATTCCAGCAATATCACGGCGGGGGACACCAGAAATGGGCATCACACATTGCGCCCATGTGGGAAATCGAACCCGGGTCTTTGGCGTGACGAGCGAACGCCTGAACAACAAGTCTACCCAACCCCCCTGAACAAGTTGAATGATTGATACAGAAACACTTAACAAACATTGTGTTAACTCACATTCATTGCCCCTCCTCCACGTGCCGCTGTGGGAGCGGGTGCCGTTGCCATCGGGGTGGCAAACGGAGTAGAGGAGGTCGATGAGGTTGATGACATCCTCGATCCCTGGGTCCCGGCCTGCGACGTCGGAGTTGCCTGGGGTCCTTGGGTTGTCTGTGGTCCCTGAGTGGTCTGTGCTGTCTGGGTAGTCTGGGCTCCCTGTCCTTGAGTAGTCTGGGCTCCCTGTCCCTGAGCTGTTCGAGAACGAAAGAAACTGAACATTGCTGAAAATGATGAAAATGCTGAAAATGCGTAGAATAGCTAGGATACGATGCGATAAATCGACAAACGTGACAGAGTCGTGAATGTATCCGTGTTTTATAGTACGAAATCAGGGAGAAACCACTTCAAAAGAGGGGAGCTTGATTGTGGTTTGAGATGAGCATTTCCTACATATGCGAAAGCTCAGTCTATTGCCAAATTAAACCCCAAAAATGTAATATTAAATGTTTCGATACATACCGACTGCAAGAATGAGAGACATATATATTCCGGTAAAACAGAGGCTTTATTGAATAGGACACCACCCCTCCACACCGCGAAAATTAAATAGTTGCGCCCCTGAACCCAATAAGCACGGGCGATTCAGCTGAAACTATGTGCTGTCCTGCAGCCTCGTGAAGTTCAAGCCTTAACTCAAATCACAAGTGTCTTAAACAATGGAGCACTGCGAGACGTCCCCGAGCCCCAGACCCATCGGACTGTGTTATGCAACAGTGTCCTAGCTGGACGTGAGTTACTCAAGCATTCCCAGGCAGTGGAATTAAGATTAGCATTGTACAGAGAACAGCTGCAAGAAATGAACGTTGTTGGGTCGCTAAGCGTTAGGTAATCGAGCTTGTCAAATGGTACACATATCAGAAAGCGTCACTGTGTTCTTTTGTGAGTGAGTGAGTTTAGCTTCACGTCGCTTTTAGCAATATTCCAACAATATCAAGGCGCGGGACATCAAAATGGGCTTCACACATTGTACCCAGTGTTCTTTTGTGAAAATAGTTTATTCGAGTCTGCGTTTAGTACATTTATGTGAGTCTGCTATTCATTCATAGTGACAGTGAAACCAGCGACTGATAGAAACATGTACAATTATCGTGTCCGAAACATACCACACAACCACCCACTACTACTACTACTACTACTACTACTATTACTACTACTACTACTACTACTATTACTACTAAAACGCATTGTGACTCTGTACTCACAATGTTTATTAAAGACTGTTTAAAAACGTCTTCCATAAAGGATCTTTTAGTAACATTCATTTCAATCTATTTCCTGATTATGTAAAAGAAATATATTTTCTGCAAACATCAAACTGTAGTATTGCCGACTATTGACTAGGTTGTGCTAGCATGTCAATTCCCTTTAGCAGAATGTGCGTATCAATTGCAAGGTGAGATTCCGTACTGAGTTTCGATCAGGGTGATGGAGGTAGGCTCATGGTTAAGGCGTTCGCTCGTCACGCCGAAGACCCGGGTTCGATTCCCCATCTGGATGCAATGTGTGAAGCCCATTTCTGGTGTCCCCCGCCGTGATATTGTTGTAATATTGCTAAAAGCAATATTGCAAAACTAATCTCACTCTCTCAGTCCCTGATTAAAATTGCAGCCCTTTTGACACTGAGTCACAATATGATATAAAACATCTTCAGATTGCTTATATTTTATTCAAAATAAATATCATATCATTATAAAATACAATCATAAATAATTATCGTCAGACAGAGAGTTAAAAATAATTAAAAACGTAATTGAGAAATGGAATGTTGATGATCAAATCAAGTCACTGGGACTGTTGACGAACACGAAACAAAGAGACATAACTAGTCTCTACTAAAGTGGGAGACTGGCAGACCCAGTTTCGTAGGAAGAGGAGCTCCCTCATTAACATGCGCCCATTACTGTCGAAGTAAAGCTATGGTGCGTATTTCTAGATTCCATGTCCGCAGCTTCGTATTCCTGTCTGTAAACAAATAAAATAAACAATAAATATATTATTCCCGCACGGTGTTTTTAAATGAGCTATAGAAATGA